CAGAGATTGCGCAGTTTCGCGCAAAGACCGGCAATTGGCACTAGGGGAGGCATCTTGCTGCTCTGGGATGATCTTCTTGTTGACGTGTCCGACATATCCCTCAATACATATTGCCTTTCCGCCATGGTTAGTGTGCGCGGGACCGATGTGCTCTTCAAAATCACCTCCGTCTACGGTCCCACGGACAACTCCTGCAAAGACGCTTTCTTTGCCGAGCTTCTGAGTCAGAAGCCGTCGCCAGGGATGGCTTGGCTTGCTTCCGGAGATTTCAACCAAATTTATCGTGCGAGAGACAAGAACAAGAGAAATGTTAATTGCAGCAGGATAAATCGCTTCAGGGCAGCGCTCCAGAGCTGTGAGCTCAAGGAAATCCACCTCCAAAACCGCAGATTCACATGGAGCAACGAGAGGGTAAACCCAACCCTTAGCAAGCTGGACTCCTTCTTCTGTAATGCAGAATGGGATACTACCTTCAACTCCCATATCCTGAATGCACTCTCCTCCTCACTCTCCGACCACTGCCCGCTCTTGCTTGCCGATGACAAGGGACCGCGAAGGCCTCGGGTCTTCAATTTTGAAAACTTCTGGGTATCCATGCCCGGATTCTTTGAGGTGGTTCAAAGGGCGTGGAGCGAAAGAGTTGATCACACTGAGCCATACCATATTCTGCACCACAAGCTCAAAAAGACAGCGCTTCGACTTTCCGAGTGGAGTAGGGGCCTCTTCTCAAAGGCAAAGATCCACCTCCAAGCAGCCCTTTTGGTGATTCTCCGCCTCGATATAGCCCAAGAGGGTAGACTCCTGTCCGCCGACGAGCGTGAGCTACGGGCTAGGCTCAAGAGGCGCGTCATTGCCTTGTCCGTGCTTGAAAGATCTCGCAAGAAGCAATGCGCCAGAATCGCCAACCTTAGGGAGGGGGATGCGAATACTAAATTCTTCCACCGTCGTGTTAATGCTAGAAGGCGTAAAAATCACATCCACAGAATCAAGAACGAGCATGGATGGGTCACCGAGCATGTGGCCAAGGAGAAAGTAATACATGATCATTTTTCCAACGTCATGAAGAGAGGCCCCATAAGCAACAAGGATTTCAACTGGGATGAGCTAAATTTGGAACCCCTTGACCTCCAGGGCCTTGACTCTGCTATGACCGAGGGTGAGGTCCTCGAAGCGATCGACGACATGCCAAGTGACAAGGCCCCGGGACCGGATGGGTTCACGGGCCTTTTTTTCAAGAGGTGTTGGAACATTGTCAAGGCCGACCTCATGCGGGTCATCAACCTTTTTGACTCCCTCCACACTTCAAACCTCCAGTGGCTCAATTCCGCCAATGTGGTGCTACTGCCTAAGAAAGAAGGGGCGGAGGGAATCACCGACTATAGGCCCATTAGCCTCATCCACGCGATCGCGAAAATTATTGCGAAGGTGCTCTCCTTAAGGCTTGCCCCCCACATGACAAAGCTCGTTTCCAACGCCCAGAGCGCCTTCATCAAAACAAGAAGCATCCATGACAACTTCATGTATGTCCGTAATCTTGCTCGGCGCCTACACAAGAGCAAGACCCCTTCACTTCTCTTCAAGCTTGACATCCGCAAGGCTTTCGACACCGTGAAGTGGGAGTACTTGCTCGACCTTCTCCAACGGCGAGGATTCCCAAGCAAATTTAGGGACTGGATTGCAGCCCTCCTTTGCTCCTCCTCCTCGAGGATCATCCTCAATGGTATTGCCGGTGAGCCAATTAAACATGGGCAGGGCCTCCGGCAAGGGGACCCCGTATCCCCGCTGCTTTTCGTCATCGCCATTGATCCTCTCCAAAGAATTCTTGATGTGGCTACGAGAAAAGGGATTCTACATAAAATAAGGGGTAGGGGAGCCATGATGAGGACCTCCCTCTATGCGGATGATGCGGCTGTCTTCTTGGCTCCGATCAAAAGTGACGTTGACAACCTTGCAGACATTTTGAGGGGCTTCGGTGAGGTCACGGGGCTGTGCACTAACTTCCACAAGAGCTCTTTTGTGCCCATCCGCTGCAATCACCTCGATCTGGGCTGCCTGACCCAGAGGTTACCGGCTGTTAGGACTTCCTTCCCTCTGCGCTACTTGGGGCTTCCTCTCTCAGTTTGGCAACTAAAGTTGGTGGATCTTCAGTTTCTAGTGGACAAGGCTGCAAGCAAGCTAACAACTTATGAGGGAAAAAACATCACCACCATCGGAAGAACGACTCTTGTCAAGTCCGTGATCACCTCCCAAGTGGTCTACCCCGCCACACCGCTAGTTATTCCGCCAACCATCTTGCTCAAAGTCAACAAACTTCAGAGAGCTTTCCTTTGGTCCGGTTCGGACAAGACGACGGGAGCGAAATGCAAGGTGAACTGGGAGCTTGTTTGCCGGCCACTTCAATATGGGGGACTTGGGGTCCTTAACACCAACAAGTTTACACGGGCCCTCCGGTTGCGATGGCCATGGTATGAATGGAAGGAGCCCACCAAGATGTGGGTGGGGATGGGAAACCCATGTGACGAGGAGGACTTAAATTTTTTCTATGCATCCACCACTATCACCATTGGCAACGGTGCGAAGACCCCCTTTTGGGACTCACCTTGGCTCCTTGGGCGCAAGCCAAAAGACATTGCCCCGCTCACTCACGAAGCGTCAAAGAGAAAGAATTGGAAGGTGCGGGAGGCCCTCTCACACAATGCATGGATCCACAAGATCAAACCCCCCACCAACATCTCCGTGGAGCACATAACACAGTTCTTCACTCTTTGGGCGCTTTTGCACGAGGTCCAACTTGATGAACTCACCGAGGATGACATTGTATGGAAGCACACGGCTAGTGGGACCTACTCGGCGGCATCTGCATACAAGGCACAATTCCTAGGGATGGTTCTCACACCTTTGGATAAAATGGTTTGGAAGGTTTGGGCCCCCTCAAAAGTCAAGTTCTTCGCTTGGCTGGCGTTGCAAGACAGAATTTGGACCGCCGATAGATTGGCCAAACGCGGGTGGCCCAACTGTAATCTCTGCCCTCTTTGCAAGAGAGTGCAGGAATGTGGGTCTCATCTCTTCTTCAAATGCCGCTACACACGAAGGCTTTGGTCCTTGATCATTGACAAATACCACATTCACGGTCTTGACACCAATGGTTGGCCCCTCTTCGACTCGGTTGAGGCTTGGTGGGCAAGTACTTGCGACAATGGCACGCCAAACCGCCAAGCCAAGGCGTCCCTCACCATGCTTGTTACGTGGACCGTCTGGAATGAGCGAAACGCAAGGGTCTTCAAGCACAAGAGCGCCCCTCCACCTACATTGCTTGACTCCATCGATTCTGAGGCTAACCTTTGGGTCATCGCCGGTGCAAAAAAATTAGGGTCTCTTATTTTGCGAGAGTGATCTCATGCCGTGTATTGTGTGACTTGTAACAAACTCTTTTCTCTCTTAATTAATGGATGAGGCAAAGCTTTTGCCTCCGTTTCAAAAAAAAAGATAATACAAAGAATTTTCTTTGCTCCAGACTGAACAATACAATCATCCTAAGGTAGCATAGCATTGATCTTTTGTGCATGCCTACAGTTTAGTTACAAACATACAATCATCCTAAGAAAGAGAAACACTTAAGTTTGAGAACTAATAATTCAAAATAAGTTGGTTTTGCTTCGACCTTTTGGAATATCATTTCCTAAAATGCAAGACATGACTAATTTAGCAACTTCCAGGGTACTCCAAAATCGTTGAAGGATGATGCACCACCTGCAACACATCTTAACCAAAAAAAAAAATGCCCCATTTTTGTGACAAAATGTACAATACCTACAAGTGCATAACTGCATATCTATTCTGGAAACTACGAAGTGTTCCAATAATATTACCTTAGAACATATATACCGCACGTAATAAACATGAACAGGTATGGAGACATTCTAGAAAGATTCAGCAAACTAAGGTTTCAAGAAGAGCATCACACACTGTTAGGCAACAAAATATACATAGATTCAATATGGCCTCACACGTACGAAAACTAATACTTCACTTGACTACTAAAGATTTCTCGTCTCTAAATTATGATTAAAAGAAGACCCAAAAGAACTCCACATATGTTCAGAACTGCTGACATAAGAAAAATAAAAGCAAAGTTCCATCTTGTGCCTATCAGTTCTTATGAACAAACATAGATGTGCATCACAATTGCAACCAAAACCTCCTCACCCCATTATAATGTGTGTCGATGAAATAGTACCATGATCTGAACTTATATTAGCAAGCACGTGCCGATGAAATAGTAACATGATCTGAATTTATATTAGCAAGCACCTGCTATACCTCGATGCAAGACCAGTCATGTGGGTAATCACATAGACATCTCATTTTCGTTAATTATAAGCGCTAGTGCTCTAGTACACGCTGGGGCTCCTCTGTACTCTGACGTCTGAGCTATGGACACCAATTTGCGGGTGTGTGGCGGGCTCCCGCACTAATCCTGGTGGAGTGTGGCGGCAACACGCGAATGCCTGCATCTTGTGCTGGCGCCCGCTTTGTGGCGGGCAACCGCCACCCACCCCGCTTGCAGCCTGATACACACATCTTCTGTTACCAATAACAGCTAATCCAACAATCAGTTCATGCACTGGAGGAAATCTCCTCACGTCAAAACAACTCCAGTTTCAGAGGCAGCATATGCAGAGGGAACGAACATCTTGAGGTGCCATTGTCAATCCCCACTGTCCACACTGATACAACAACAAGTCAGGTCAGATCCTAAAAAAGGGGCAACTGCGATTGCAAACTGAGGCTCTTAATACCCCTAACAATTTAGTTCTGCTAACTACTAGTGGTACTCTAAAGATAACATCAATAAAACCTAATGTATTCCTCAGGAACTTGGTTCAGAAAAGAATGGAGTAATCACAGGGGGAGAGAAGCGATAATGATGTTTATGAGTGTGAGACACTATTCACATTGTCCCTAGGAGCATTGTTACAGCATTTACCATGTTCGCCTGGCTATTGGCTGGCAGGTGGATTCCCCTTGCTAGCCCCATTCACCACTGGGGTATATTGGCGACTGGCTGGTGTTCCGGTGCCGGTAAGCGAGTTCCTGCCTGGTGGAGTTCCAGCACTGGGAGCCGGGTTCCTGACTGGTGGTGTTCCAGTGCCAGGAGCCGCAGTCCTGACTGGTGGTGTTGCAGTGCCGGTAAGCGAGTTCCTGGCTGGTGGTGTTCCAGTGCCGGTAAGCAAGCTCCTGGCTGGTGTTATTCCAGTGCCAGGAGCCGCATTCCTGGCTGGTGCTCCGGTGGCAGGAGCCATATTTTTAGCTAGTGTTCCGGTGGCTGGAACCGCATTCCTAACTGGTGTTCCGGCACCGGGAGACATATTCTTGGCTGGTGTTCCAACGCCCGGAGCCGCATTCCTGGCTGGTGTTCCAACCCCCGGAGCCGCATTCCTGGCTGGTGTTCCGACGTCAGGAGCCGCATTCCTGGCCAGTGCACTACTATTTGAGCTCATAGCATGCTGCTTCTGGGCCATAATTTCTTGGCACCTATTTTGTTTGCCTGTGGTGCCTGGGCCAGGTGGCTTCCGATATATTGCTTTACTCAGCACACCAGCATTGCCTGTGCCAACAAGGCCACTAGAGGTGACTGTTGATGGAAAGGTCGCCCCATGTGAAGCTAGAGTTTTGGTCTTCTTCACGGTTGCTGGTGCTCTAGCAGACGCAGGGATGCTTTTCACAACTGTGGGTTGCTGTTTCTTCTGGCTGGGAATAGCACCTTGAGCTCCAGGAGCAATTTTGACACCTTTGCTCTTATCCAAACAATCTGTAGTCAAGCATCCTTGGGCAACAAAGCGATCGAACTCCAGCATGTCGGCATCCTTGGGATCTATGCTCTCCTCAGCTTTGGGGTCTATCATCTCATACTGCTTCACTATCTCTGGCTGCTTCACCATCTCCGGCTGCTTCACGTCTTCAGGAAACAAGTCCTCCATCGTGACTGCACAAAATGTAGAGTCGTCGTCCATCTCCATATTGTCGCATGGGCCAGACACTGGTGTGGTGCTCAATGCTCTATCAGGTTCCAACAAATGTGCACTAGCAGATTGTTCAGGGGGGTTAACTCCTGCAACTTCTGACACAACATTAACTTGCTCAATTGACTGTGTTATCAAAACCGGAGGAGATGGTGTAGGGGCACTGCAGTTTGGAGGTTCTGGGTGTTCAGCACTACCAGGCTGTGTTCCAGGCTCACCAGCCATAGTGGATGCTTTAGAGCTTGTAGAAGTTTTTGAAGATCCTTTTCCTCGAGGTCTTATGTGCTTAGCTTTCGGGGTTATGTGCACAGCTTGCGAGGATTGTGCAGCTTTCAATAAATCGGTGGCGATGCTTGCTGGGGCGATTCGTCCACCAGCAGCAATAGCTGCAGCTTGTATCGAGGAAGGAGCATTTGTAGGATTTGCTTGTGCATTTTGCTTCTTAGAGCTATTTTGTGACTTGTTTGAAGTATTTGACACTTTTGAGGCTGCAGCTTGAGCAGGAGCTGGTTGCACCCGAGGAAGTGGAATCTGCCCTTGTGCTGGCGCTGGTACTGGCAACGGGAATGATGAAGAGGATGTTGCACATTTTAACTCAGGTGCCGCAGCAACGAATACTGGAGCAGGATGTTGAGCGCTTTGTTGTGAAGCTCCTACATGAAAAGGCTAGAATGAGCACAAAAGGCTAGCACAAGGCACAACAAAGATGCCAGAGCGGATTTACATCTCAGGTATACAACGAAGCTATAGAACAATGTTTGGCTTGTTGATACTTCAGTAAAGAAGCATTATTCTAAATGAGAGCTGTACTGACAATGTATAAGAATTTTATTAGTACCTAATCTTAATGTAGAGAATCCACCAGGCTTCCCCATAGGCATATCAAGAGCCATAGAGAATGCCTTTTGAGTAGCTTTTATATCAAACTCCGTGGTGACTGATTTAGCTTTAGCAAGCTTGGTTGTTCCTTGACGCCTGCAAATGACTGCCCATCTCTGAAAACAACAATACACATTACCTAATTACTCTACAGACAAATATGTACATGGAGACACATGGATGTCCCATCATGCTAATCATTATAGCACACAACAGTTATATGCGAATGAGAACTAAACAAACAGGCCAAGTAAGATTGAGATGGAACTTTTTCTAGGCATAGATCACAAGCAAAGCAACATAACTAGTGCGCCGCAGCCTGCAACACCACCCACGGTGCCTCCTGTGCGACCAGGAACCGGAGACGATTGGACACCTGATGCTTGCGTGCCCATTCACCAGGCAGACTTGGCACGAGGTCCTCTCTTGGCTACGCCTACCGGCACCGACGCCCGACCACGACGGCTCGCTCATGGATTGGTGGCTGCGCACTAAGGAATCCACACCGCCAGCGCTTCGCAAGGCGCTCAAATCTGTGGCGCTCTTGGTGCCGTGGATGGTTTGGAAGCATAGGAACGCGTGTGTTTTCGACCATGTGAGGCCTTCGCTGAATGAGCTTGTAGACAGGATCAAAGACGAGACCAGATGTTGGGCAAAGGCCGGAGCCCAAGGGCTCAGGGTCGTTTTGCCACCATCCTGGGATGTCCACTGAGGCCCCCTTGGCTGTGTAAAACTACCTCCTAGGAGGATGTATATTCCCCTTCCTTTCCAATGCAATGAAACGCAAAAGCCATTTGCGTTTTCTCGAAAAAAGAAGCACATGCATTTGCCTACTTACCTTGGCATATTTGCAAAGGCATGCTACAAATTTATTATAATTCGGGAAGACTAAGGAAAACCAAACGGATGTAAACAAGGATGAACTGCCGCACAATAATAGATGCTACTATGCAATTTACAAGATGACCATAGAGTTAGTTACCTGAGATAATTGAACATAAGTTCTTGTGCTATCGAAGTTATATTTACGCAGAATGTTCAGCCAATTTCCTTCACCACACTTATGTACACCATCCATTAAGTCTGCATCCTCCTTGTTGGACCATGCTTTAGGCTTCTTTGTCTTTTTATGAGGTCCATTCCCATCAAAAGGATCAGGAGATAACCCTGTATGGGATGCCTGTTTTGAGTTGGAAACTGGACCTGTACTATTTGTTAGACGATGGCTCTGAGCAAGCTGTTTGTCAGATGGAACACGCGGTATCTTCTCATTTGGAGTGTTTAGCAGAGGAACTTCTGAGTTAACACGATGACTAGAACCTTGCTCACGTGAAGGTCCATAGATTAAGATCTGCAATTTATATGATAGGATTATAAGTACCATTGTGCATACCTAAGATATGAAGAAATTGTAGTGCAAATATGCAACAGAGCAAATATTGCATGACATTCAACATAGTTGGTAATCAATACAAAATTGCTAACGAAATAAAGATTTGCCTTTTCCATACATGATGACTCGTTTACGTTGTTACTAACTGAAATGGAAGCTGTCATAAGAACTGTTATACTGACAAATCCTTGCGATTAGGATTTTTTATAACTAATCTGCCCAGCAATAGAAGACATTTGGGTGTAGACATGGTCCCTGAGTAGAACTGTGAGTATACTTGTTTTCAATTGCAATAAGAATCAAATACATTCATAACTAAAAGCAATTTCTGAGAAAAAATCTTTCATTGTTATTTTCATCTGTCTAATTTAATATTCAAAAAGATCTTCACTGCCAAAGAATAGAAGGTTTGACCGCACATATGATGTACTGCTACTCTTTCGTCACTAGAGGGGGCAAACATGATAGTCACCCTTTTGTAACTGGAGGGGGGGAACATCATGGCCCTTTTTGTCTTTCTGCGTATAAAGGTAAAGATTACGGACTCATAGTTGCAGTTGCAGAATTAGTAGATCAGACAGTTTTCTGTACACACTACTTTAAGTTTGTGAAACTTGAGAGGGTGAGCTCTGACCCTGTGAGGCATTATAGGAAGTCCATCTTATAAATCAAATAAAATGGACCTTTACACTCTCTAATAGAACAAGAAACTTAGATGAAACATACGAACTCTATCTTCATTGGCGAATACATATACTTATCTTACAGCCAAAACTGTTCACTATCCTATGATTTCTAGTGAAACACCATGCTTCATCTCCCATTTGATAACGAGGCATCAATCAAGCTTTTGAGCAGAGCCAACAATCAATCAGCCTTCGCTAGGCGCATACTGAAGAGCAAACTGCATCTGCAGACCCAAAAGTATTGAAGGGGTGTCAAGTTAGTCCTAATTCTATTGAAGTGCACATTCCGGTCCCTATAGCACCTTAAGGGAGCATTTGGTTCTAAGGAAACCAGATTGAAAGGAATGTGAAAATTACTAGGAATATTAGCGTGGTAATGAGATAATTAGGAATATGGCATTACCGTTAAAGTTTTCAATGAATTCAAGATTGAGTTGTTTGGGTCATTGGTTGCAATAACCTGTTCATGAGATTATATTTTGTAGATTAATACTGATGTATTGCAAAGATCTGTTGTTGTTTTATTTCTTCATGTCCCTTTATGACAAAGACTTTCAGATTGACCGCTTTTGGGGCTAGTATTTTATTAACAAAAAACTTCTTAGACTGGACTACTTATCAATGTAAGGCCGCTAGGTTTGACTTTAGAAACTTTTTACTCGGCTAGGAGGCTGTTCTTTCACTGCTGATGTGACTGCTTTTAGCGTAAATAAAGACACGCTGTGAAAGAATCTGTATCTTACTAACTTATACAGAATAAAACCCAAATTAGTGTACTAGGACTATTATCGATCTTCAACGAAAACTGGAGCTAGTGTTCAACAAGAAAGAACAATTCCAAAAAACAAGTAATTGTATGTTTAATTTAACAATGCAAACGTGAGAAGGAATTGGACACAAAACCCTTCACAAGATTATTACAATTCGATCACTATGTTTGAATCGAACTAATATTGAATGTCAAGTGTTTTTTAGGAAGAAAAATGAGGTATCGATGGATTCCGGATCAGGGGGTAATCCAAGATAGCCACCTGTTTCAAAAGGAATCATAATGCCCCAAAACAACTTGAATCGTATCATGGTATCTAGAGTCTAACTAACATTCCAAGTGGCTATGCCGAATGCGGTAATCAAACCAGATTGCCTCGTGATTTCCACTAATCTTTACAAGACTCCTGCAACCAAACACAGCCTAAAAGTGAGTCACCGCGGGTCCTGAGCAGCTCAGCTCAGCACGGGAGCACCCTTTGCGGCAAACTCCTGCCATGGCAGCATTCTGGCTGTGCGGCTGCGGTCAAAGCGTCACGAGTGCAGTCAGCACTGAGCTGGGTTGCTCAGGGCCCGCAGTGACTCACTTAAGGTACTATAAGATCGTAATAAAGGATCTATATGGACAAGCCAATAACCATATGGCATAGATAGCACGACATTAGATACTGGTTTGTGGTACAATAGGACACAATGGCCTTAAGCAGATGCCAAACAAAATTCTGTGCACATCTCGCACTCAATCCCAGATATGCTTGATCAAAGAATCATATACAAAAAATGCAATTACTAAATACATTGATGGCGTTTAAGTTCATATATCCGGGTTCTGGGTTCCTAATTAACGCAGATAAATGAGGCAAGGTGGGTGAAACAGAAAATTAGGCCTTTGGCATCCTAAATCCAAAAGGAGCATCTGATAAGTAAATGACCGTATCACCTACAATACAGACAGACATGCTTCTGACAAAACAAAATGTGGTACCTTCGCGAACCGGGAGGCCTCAGCTGCAGCTTCGTTGCTCGGCTTAGGAAAGGGTTCAATCTCACATTCCAAGTCGCTCTCATCACCCTGTCATCATCAATCAGGGCAACAGAAGTACCACAATACAGTTAGGAAAAGATAAGGTGACAGTAGAACAAACAGAATTTCTATATACCAACCTCTCAAGATCTAACAGTTCCTACAACGACGATACTGGCTAGAATACACAATTTTAAAGCTAGTCGAAATTAAATTGGCAGGATAAAGAAAGAGCACAAACCAGAGGCTGGGCGCCGATGTCCTCGGCGTTCTCGATGAAGTCATGTCGGTAGGCGATGTAGCGCCAAAGCATCTGGTACTCGCGGGCGGAGGTGATCCCCGTGGCTGTCTTGGCCACCAGCGCCCTCCAGTCGATGCTCCTTCTCTCCGCGTGCTGCGCCACCTCCTGAAGCACCGTCAGGATTGTCGCAGGCGAGTACCTGCAGCAAGATTGAGCGGCGCACTAAAACCCTAGGGCGGGCCCTGGAGAAGCGGCGAGTAGCGCGAAGGTTGAGGAGAAGGACCGACTTGTGGAGGATGAGGTACACCTCGTCCTCGGAGAGATCTCGCTTCCGCTTCCCCGCAGCTGCCGCCGCCACCATCTCGAAGTTTGTGACTCGTCAGCGCTTTGGCGGTTAACTGGGGGAATACTACAATAGAATATAATCAGCTCGTGGAATTATTATTATTTTAAAAAAGAGGCAAAAGTTTTGCCTCATACATTAATTAAAAAGAAGAGAGTTGCCTGATTAATTTACGGAAAACCAGGCGAAAACCGCACAGACTTGCACAGTCATGTGAACTACTCCCAAACTATGGAGCCACAGGACCACAAAGGTAGACCAACAAACACACCCAACATAGAACCTCTGCAACCCCAAACACTTGGGTCACAACTTCACCAATGGAACTCCATCGCCCCCCTGCAAGTTGCAGCCTAGACTACTGTACCATGGAAGCACCTGCGCCTCCCCATTATCTTCATCTTTTTTCCATTGCACATGTTAGATTTCTTCTTGCGGATACCAGGGTGGAAAATCGAACACTGTGCATTTCATGCTTAGTCAAACACTGGTGGTACTTTGGCTGGTCACATGTAAATTGATGATTTGCTCCGACAGGTATGCACTAAAACAGATCATCAGCTTGCTAATACGTGTTACTAGCGCAGTACAGATCTCTAGTTATTTATTTTACTTGTACAGTCCCAGATAATAATATCTAAAACAATATCCTTTTTTTTCCATAGCCAAAAGCTACCATCGCTTGGTCCAAAGTTGCGAGCCATCAATGGGTTAATCGATTGTAGCAATTAGATATCACACCGTGCCTATTACATGCTGTTTTATCCAAGTGGGTAAACTGGTAGGTGTTCTCTTGCAAAGGCATGAACGCGTCTACTTGCTTCAGCCCAACAACAGCGGCTCCAATCAGCTCCAGTACTAATCTTGCAAAGGCATAAACTGAATCGAAGTCAGCGCATTGCCTAAGATGAGATTGAGTACCTGCTGGAACAGTGGCGCGATCCGGATGCAGGCAGACACCGCGCAGCAAGAACTGGTGGAGGGAGAGTCCCCCGCGTTGGCTACGTTGGCGGAGACCGATCGGCGGCGACACCCAGCGACGGCGGCGCAGACCTAGGTGGCGGCGGCCGTGAACAGGCTCTGAGAGGAGGGTTCGTGCGTGATGCTTGGGCCTGGTGGGCTTCTTTCCGAAATTATCCGACGGTTAGGAATGAACGGCTCGTCAAAATGCACCTATCTCGATCAACTCGACTAGACAAATGCAACCACGACAATTTATTCACATCTCTTCATTTTGTTCCTAATGTTATAGCTTTGTCAATAATCAAGACAAATATAGGCTACCCATACTTTCAACGAGCAGTCGAGCATCAAAAAGACAATCAAATATTGAAGCAAGGTGCTACTCCCTAAACTAAAATCTCGACAAGTTTTTTAAAGTGAAGGGACTACAACACATCAATTGAAATAAACTAGCCATAAGGCATAATGAAACGTGAAAGCAATGTATGACTCAAAACCACCTAACTATGCACCAGTGTGTCAAATTTTGAGTTATTATACCCTCATGCAAGTTCTTTTTGTCGTTTAGACAAAATAAAGGAGAAGCTTAATTTGTTAAAACATCCTTGCTGAATTTCAAGTTATTAAGATTCTAGAGATCTAAAGCTCGTGTTATGATATCAACTGTAACACTTCTGATTTCAAATTTCAACTCTAACTTGCGGTGCTACCACACTACTCTAAAAATAACCAAAATTTGGAAGAATTAGAAATTTTGACGGAGTTTCTTTTCTATATACCTATATACTGACTTCTGTAATGTAACACACTAGTAGAGATATTGCACAAGAAACAATAGTATATATTTAACAGTATCGAACAAATCCCAGTGGTTCTCCGAGAAATAAACTACGTCGACAAAAGCGACCAACGGTGCATGCCAAGCAAACGAATTTTGAATACAACTAGTAGATAAAACTATGAATATCTTCTAAATATAATATGATAGCCTGTTATCCGCTCAAGTGATGTAGTGTTGCTACTCCCTCTCTCATGCATGTCACTTTTTTCGAGAGCATGTAAAATATGTACCATAGCTTTATAGAAGAAAGAAACGTAGCCAATTTAGAAGAGATATATCCTAAAGGTCGAAGATTACACCACACCAACTCCATGGGAAAAGGAAAAAGAAAAGAGGACTACTCAGGCAACTCTACTATCCTGCTCCCTCTAGCCAAAGTCCAGAGCTCCAATTCCTTGAAGGTTGACTCTGCTAGATCACTTCCATTGGGTTGTGGGCTAGTGTTGTTGAACACCCTAGCATTTCGTTGCTTCCAAATGTTCCGGGAGATGAGAATGACCAAAGAGTCAAAGCCCTTGCACTTAAACTTCAGACATCTTTTACGACCCAAACCCCACCAATCTTCCAGTGAGTCCCAAACAGTTGGGCATCCAGCATCCAGAAGGCTTGCACAAAAGAGGCATCAGAACCAGACGTGGTGAGCATGGACACCATGTACAAGATGTGATCCGTCCCTTATTAGCACCTGATAACCAAATAAACGCAAGGATGAGTACAAAAATACTCAGGAAAAACAATATAGAACCGTAAGAGGATTGGCCAATAGACAACACAAGGATTTCAAGTGAAAACGTAAAATGTCTCTGAAATATCCCTTTCGAACGGGAGACGCATGGTGGTCACGCATACTGATGATTGAAGACACCTATAGCTAGCAAGTTTCATCGGCACGAAGACCGGAACAGGGCAAATGAAGGGGGGGAGATGTCATTTGTGCTCACCCACGAACGCAGGGGCGGAGCTCGTCGAACACTAGACCCTCGCAGTGATGAAACAACTGCACATTTAAATTGAAAGATGAGTAACATAGCATTATTGTTTTTTCTGTCAACCTAACTAAATATTTACAACAGGACGAGCGGGTTAGGGGGTTCCTCGGCGTCGGTGGAACCCTAAATAGCAAGTATCATCGGTGTAAATACATGTGGCGGTCAGCGTCGAACACTAGATCCACGTCCCACAAGTGACGCCGGCGCCGGGCGTCCCGCAACAAAGTTCTGGGGGCCAATGACGGTCAAGTCACTTTGGTTGTTTGTAGTTTCAAAACTTTGCTTTAATCCTGATCGCAGAGGCTGCCAGAAAAATTCGCATAGGTGTTCGACCGCCATCAACCTCGAGAACTATTGTTGTAGGACGTTAGACGCCGGCTTCACTTGTGGGACGTGGATGTAGTGTTCGACACCGACGGCCACATGTATCTGAAGGAAATATGCCCTAGAGGCAATAATAAAGTTATTATTTATTTCCTCATATCATGATAAATGTTTATTATTCATGCTAGAATTGTATTAACCGGAAACAGGATACATGTGTGAATACATAGACAAACTTAATGTCACTAGTATGCATCTACTTGACTAGCTCATTAATCAAAGATGGTTATGTTTCCTAACCATAGACATGTGTTGTCATTTGATTAACGGGATCACATCATTAGGAGAATGATGTGATTGACTTGACCCATTCCGTTAGCTTAGCACTTGATCGTTTAGTATGTTGCTATTGCTTTCTTCATGACTTATACAAGTTCCTATAACTATGAGATTATGCAACTCCCGATTACCAGAGGAACACTTTGTGTGCTACCAAACGTCACAACATAATTGGGTGATTATAAAGGAGCTCTACAGGTGTCTCCAAAGGTACATGTTGAGTTGGCGTATTTCGAGATTAGGTTTTGTCACTCCGATTGTCGGAGAGGTGTCTCTGGGCCCTCTCGGTAATGCACATCAATATAAGCCTTGCAAGCAATGTAGCTAATGAGTTAGTTACGGAATGATGCATTACGTAACGAGTAAAGAGGCTTGTCGGTAACGAGATTGAACTAGGTATTAGGATAGCGACGATCAAATCTCGGGCAAGTAACATACCGATGACAAAGGGAACAACGTATGTTGTTATGCAGTTTGACCGATAAAGATCTTTCGTAGAATATGTAGGAGCCAATATGAGCATCCAGGTTCCGCTATTGGTTATTGACCGGAAACGAGTCTCGGTCATGTCTACATAGTTCTCGAACTCGTAGGGTCCGCACGCTTAAGGTTTCGATGATAGTTATATTATGAGTTTATGAGTTTTGATGTACCGAAGTTTGTTTGGAGTCCCGTATGAGATTATGGACATGATGAGGAGTCTTGAAATGGTTGAGACATGTAGATTGATATATTGGAAGCCTATATTTGGATGTCGGAAGTGTTCCGGGTGAAATCGGGATTTTACCGGAGTACCGGGAGGTTACCGGAACCCCCCGAGGGCTTAATGGGCCTTCATGGGCCTTAGTGGAGAAGAGGAGAGGAGGCCAGGGCAGGGCCGCGCGCCCCTCCCCCCTAGTCCGAATAGGACAAGGAGAGGGGGCGGCGCCCCCCCTTTCCTTCCTCTCTCCCTCCTCCTTCCCCCCTTCTCCTAGTCCAACAAGGAAAGGAGGGAGTCCTACTCCCGGTGGGAGTAGGACTCCCCTTGACGCGCCTCTCCCTGGCCGGCCGCCCCCTCCCCCTTGGCTCCTTTATATACGGGGGCAGGGGGGCACCTCTAGACACAACAATTGATCTCTTGATCTCTTAGCCGTGTGCGGTGCCCCCCTCCACCATAGTCCTCGATAATATTGTAGCGGTGCTTAGGTGAAGCCCTGCGACGGTAGAACATCAAGATCGTCACCACGTCGTCATGCTGATGGAACTCTTCCCCAACATTCTGCTGGACCGGAGTACAGGGATCGTCATCAAGCTGAACGTGTGCTAGAACTCGGAGGTGCCGTAGTTTCGGTGCTTGATCGGTCGGGCCGTGAAGACGTACGACTACATCAACCGCGTTGTTCTAACGCTTCCGCTTTCGGTCTACGAGGGTACGTGGACAACACTCTCCCCTCTCGTTGCTATGCATCACCATGATCTTGCGTGTGCGTAGGAAATTTTTTGAAATTACTACATTCCCCAACAGTGGCATCCGAGCCAGGTTTTATGCGTAGATGTTATATGCATGAGTAGAACACAAGTGA